GTATACCAAACAGCCCTAAAGGTTTTCTGTAATTTGTTTTTTATTACCATTGAGCATCTTTGGTGTCTGCACAAGAAAGTGTATCATGAGGTTCTTATTAAGCAATGAGAGAAAAAAAATGCTTAGAGATTTTGGTAGAGAGATATTTTCTGGTTTCTATTTTTTTTCTTGCATGGGTCATCTGTGTTGAATTTGCACAATATCAGTATAATACATCTTGAATACTGGTGTCTAACATACTCTACACTATTGTTCCTAATGTCACAAATTTGAAGTAAAAAAGAAAGAAAATATACATCAGAAATGCCAAAAAAAAGCATCTATAGAATGATGTTTCATGAATGACGAAAACATGACCCATTAAGAGATTCATTCACATATATTTTTAAGAAAAGAATAAAATTAGAAAAATTAGTTTAGTTGAATGTTTGAGTTTGTTCTATTGTCCAAAGTCTCAAATTATAATAAACGAGAGAAACTCAACTCGTTGTTATCTCTACGTGTGTGTGTAGTATATAATACTCACATAAAACCTAGCAATTCACAAAACTACACATTCCCTAGCTAGACTTGTTCTTCTAACTCCTAAGTATTCTATCCTTCTCCATCATCAACCCAAACATGGGATAACCTTCTTCATTCCTGGAAAGAAACCGCTCATGAAAAACTTCTAATGACGAAACCTGTTGTATTTTCTCCCAAACTAGCCATTGCCAAGACAGAACAGCAAATGCAACGATGAGGCTCCATCCCCATTCTGAAGAATACCCTCTAACGGCGTGAGAACAACTGTTAGACCCGTACCAACCGCCTACGGGAAGAAACAAGCCGAAGTAGAACGACACGGGCTTTGTATTGTTCCCACAGATGGTGATGTAAACGGGCCTCCACATGTCGTACCCACTCCTGTACAAGTATGCATAGCATATCTGATGGGTACACTGACCGTGAATTTCAAACATATTCATTGAACAACGCCTGAGAGCCCTTGAACATGGGGCATCTAGCCTTGGTGCATATACCTACAACAAATCGAGTAAGATCCCACAAAAGTAAGGTTTTGGGAGGGCGTATTTAAGCAAACCTTACACAATTACATTTTGTTTGGTTAATGGAGAAATATTTTCCCGGGAAATATGAGTTTCAAGAAAATTATTCTCTTCACATTTTCCATGGTTTGATATAGATAGAAAACTTTTTTTTACCAAAAAAATATTTCTAATTGTTAAGATTTTAAAATTTATATTAAAAAAGAGGTTTAAAGATAATCTAAAACCAGCATGAAGATGGGCAACGAAGAGTGGGGGTGTCGGCACTAGATAAATGACACGAGTTAGCGAGTGAAGAAGGACGGTGGGCTGAGGGATAAGGGACAGGGGCTGTGTTTATGATTTAATCATGGTTCATGTTGTGTTTATAACAAGGTCATTTGACATACTTAATTCGTTGTGTACTTTGGTTACTATGACAAATCAAGAAAGATTGAAAATCTTAACCTGCCATAAAGAAAGTAATGCATTGGACCACACTTGAAGTGTTGTGTACAAAAAAATTATCCAAAATTTGTAACTTTTCTCCTATTTATTTTATATGTTCGATATGTAAATTATGTAAGATACTGCGATTATTTTTAGTAATCCGCATCAATACTATTTCTACATGATGTGGACAATATTTATCAATGCTCAATTTCATATTATGTAATTGTATGTTATTTATATATTACATTGATTATTATTACTCTGTATAAAATCTACTTTTTTTACAATAACAATACTTTTTTTTAATATTCTTGAAACTCCATAATAAATCGCCTCTTACATGCTCACTTTAATACTCTCCCTACCATATCTATTTTAAACAAAATATTTATACAGAGTAGTGTACAATTTTAATACTACTATTTTTAATTTTTTGAAAGCAATACTATCTATGAAATCAAACATTTAAAAATGCCAATTTTATCCAAAAAAGTCATCTAGTGGCATGGAGTAAATTTCATAATTAGTCTTATGTAACAGGAAATTTTCTCTATTTAATCCTCTATTATCATATATTATCCATGTGGTTTTTCTTTTATGGATATTTTTTTCACAAATAACCCTTGTTATCTTCAATCATGTTGGTGTTAAATTGAGGGTTAAACATGTAATTTTACAATGACCATATATCTTATTATTGTCATATATACACAATTTTAGAGGGCGCTTCGAATGCGTCACTGTGAATTACAATCACTTTCTACTATAACCATAGTCTAAAGATGTCATTCGTCAGAATTTTGGTTCAGTGCCATAGTCATTATTGTTGTATTGTTCGTCTAATCGGCATTATATTAAAATACATCACTGGATATAGAGTTGATGTCAATTTCATATTTTTCGCCCTCAAATTAACACGAACATGATTGAAGATAAAAAAGATTATTTAAGGAAAGTTATTTATAAAAAAAGGACCACTGAAGTAATATTTAATGATAGAGAACTACGGAGTAAATATGGAAAAAACTTCTGTTACAAAGGACTGATTATAAAATTTACTCAGTGGTATGTATAGAAAAGTGTAGTTTTTTGTAGAATTTTGAAATTAAAGAAGAAGAATTTTACTCTCATTAAAAACGGTGAGAATCCATTGATACTGACATCTAGTGTCAACAAATGACACTCACTATTTAGAGTACTTTCATTACTCGATTCGCAAAATAGATGGTTCTTGCCCCGTTAACCTCCACTGCACCCCTACCCGACTACCCCTGCCCTCCTTCCCCCCAAATGTGTGGCATTATGTGTGTCTATTATGCGATATAATGCACAATAGTCACACATTTGGAGGGGCAAAAAGAGGAGGGAGATGAGATGAGGTGGGGGTTTTGGGGTTAGATGGAATGAACTTTTAATTTTCTGAATGGAGCACCAGAGGTGCTTTAAAATGACAATGACACTAAAGTGTCACCGTACTCTGATGTCAACGGAACTTTATCGCAATAAAAAATATAAAAAAAGGATTAATTAAATTCTCTATATTAACTTATTGAAAAAGAAAGTTTAAATTAATAATAATAATAATAAATGGCGGGTTAAGTAATAGCATGCGTACGTGTGATTAAAAGAGACCATTATCTAATTTCTTAAAGTAATCTTAAACCTTAATGAATTAATTTAGGATATTTTCTAGCAATGCTAGGTTCACAAACAAGATGATAACATATTTCATAAATTCATGATTTATAGTTTAAATTCTTACTCCGTATTTTAAAATTTTTCCAAATTATTTTAATTTTTTTATTAGTGTTTATAAATAGTAAGTTTATGAGATTTGTGGCTATTCTATTTGTAAACCAAGCGTTTCCCTAGATTTAAAAATACTTACCTAAAATGAGACTAAGACATGGAACATTTACACAAATAGAACCATCTCTTTGCACGCACATAAAATATGAAAATATTTATTTTTGTGTATCTGTGATACACAGATATGCAAGTCTTTATTTTCTAACTTGCATATGAGTGTACCACAGACACCACTACACAGGTCCCCATTTTATTAGAGGTACCTCTAACGCACCTGCCTCTAAAATATTTTGAGAAATTATCACGTGAAGACACATACATGAAAGAATGTTATGAGTAAATTTTAAATGCGGGAAAAAGATAAAAGTAGGAGTAAAATATTGAAAATATACTAAAATAGGACTTCTATATTTTTATTCTCAAAATAAGACTTAAAATTCATTTATATTATCAAACATGGTCATGTACATTACCAAAAAACATAGTAATGTGCACATGTACAATGTCATATTACTACGGTGCAAAGTCTTATTTCGAAAATAAAACATGAAAAGCTTATTTTGGTATTTTTTTCTATGTTTTAGTCATTAATAAGGGTGATTTATATCATATTAAAAATAATTTCAATAAAAATTTATACAGTAATATGAAGATTTATGCGAAACAAAATAAAAAAAAGTCTCTATTCTTAATATTGTTTGCGCGTTATTAAGATATCACAAGCTCTTTTCACACACACACACACACACCAAAAAAAATAATTCATCAAAAAATCATATACTATAGCATGATTATTTATTATTTTTTTTTGCAAAAAAAAATAATTAGGTAGCAATTGGAGGGTTAAATTACCTACACAGACGTTATTCTACCAAATTTAACACACTTAAATTGGGAACAAAGAACCACTGCGTAGACAATTTAACCCGCCCATTGAAAGCTTTAACCAAAGTCAACTTGGCTTTCTAGAAAGACAGCTAGAGAGCTTGTCCAACGTCCCTGATCTGCTTTTGTTTATGCACATGAAACCAAATGGCTAAAGAAGACGATGTGGTTTTATGTGTGGTGGAAGATTGTACTCGGCAATTAGGATGGTAACTCAATATAATCACCAAGTCCTCCCTCATCTTACCGGTGTGAGACAATGAAATCAGTCCGTATCGATCATTTGACCGCTCATAAGGCCCAACGACCTCCTTGGTCACGATTGCGTTGGTAATGGTTGGTTCCACCAGGCCACCACTTCGACTTGGCTCTCATACCGCTGCTACAGCACAAGGGAGAGCCACACTCCAAAAGCTAGCTATTAAGTTGGGAGAATCCTTGACTATATAAACTCATCACCAAATCCTTCATTTTGCCGGCGTGGGACAATGAAATCAGTCTGTATTGATCATTTGACCCCTCATAAGGCCCAACGACCACGAATAAATTGATATGAGAGGAATAATTGAATTGGTGCAATAAAGTTAGTGACGTTAGAATTGATTCCGCCAAAACATCAATCATATGATGAGATCAACGATGGCGGGAGCACTTTGTTTAAGAATATTTTGACCCAAAAGATTTTCTCCATATCTAAGATGAAACTTTCCAAAAAAAGAGAGAACAAAACCGTAAACAAGTCATTCAACAAAGAAATCCACATGTATATATGATAATATAATTATAATTATAATAATAACAATAATAATAATACAAGAGTGCATAATAAAATCTAGCAGTTCACAAACTACACATTCCCCAGGCTGGTTTTACTCCTCATTATTCCATCATCAATCCAAACATGGGATACCCTTTATTCCTGGAAAGAAACAGCCCTATAAGACCTCACAACCTATTTACTCCAAAACTAGTCACTGCCCAGACCAGCCAGTGCATACAATGCTGAGCCAAACGCGGTGATCACACTCCATCCCCATTTGGAATACCCTCTGACGGCGCGAGAACATTTGTTAAACCCGTACCAAACATCTCCGGGAATAGGCACGTTGTAGTAGAACGTGACGGGATATGTGTAATACCCGCGGACGGTAACGTCAAGCGGTATCCACCCATCGTACCCGCTCCTGTACAAGTACAGGTAGCATATCTGATATGTGCATGGACCGTGTATCTCGAATGTATCGGTTGAGCACCGCTCGAAAGTCCTTGAATATGGGTCATCTAGCCTTGGTGCATATACCTAGTAGAGTACAATTCAGAGATTAAAATTTCACCAAATACAACAAACCCAGTAAAGTCCTACAAAAACTAGGGTGCATCATGTATGTACGCAAACTCAATCCCGACTCGAAAATAGATAGTATTTCCAAGAAATGTGGTCCAAAATCTTAAGAATTCATACAACTAAAATGTACTCCCTCTGTTTCTGTAAACTCTTCCTCTTTCACTTTTTTTCAACAAAACACTTCCATTTTCGACATAGTTATTAAAGGCGCTCGCCTCTCTCGCCTATGGCGCCTCAGGCGACCAGGCGAGCTCTCAGCGCCTCAAGGAAGCCAGGCGAGGCGAGATCCCTAAGGCGCGCCTAAGGCGGTCGCCTTTCTCGCCTCAATCCCTGCCTCAAGCGTTCGCCTAGCTCGCCTTTCTCGCCTCAATCACTGCCTTAAGGCTTTAGGGTATACAATGCATAATATTTATTCCTATATATTACTCCATAACACACACACAACACACAACACACAACACACAACACACAACACACAACACACAACACACAACACACAACACACAACACACAACACACAACACACAACACACAACACACAACACATACACATACATATACATATACATATACATACATACATACATATATAGTATCAATATTATGTGTTTATACATACATATGTGTGTGTGTGCGTGTGTATATGTATATGTATGTTCGCCATTTGACCGCCCGCCTCTCGCCACGCCTCTCGCCATAAAAATGGTCCTCTCGCCCGCCCCTCGCCACTCGCCATTAATAACTATGATTTTCGAATAAAATTACTAATATATTCAAATAAAGTCATTGCAATATGCTCCATCCATTTTGCATTGATGTAATAAGTTATTTAAGTGATTTGTCTCTCTTTTTTCTTTGTTTCTAGATATGCTCTTGGCTGATAGAGCCAAAGATTTACTTTTTTCTCTTGGCGTTGAAGTATGATGGAATAAAGCAAAATGGCTCTTTAAATTATTTGTGCTTCTTTTTTAAAGTGAAGTATTAGTTAGACAATGCAACTTTCAACGCTCATCAATCATCATGGGTCATCTGGAAACAACCACTCTATGTCTTAAACATAGTGCTCAGGTTGCATACATCCGACCCCCTCTTAGCCTGCAATGCGTGGGGGCCTTTGAGGCACTGGGGTAATGTTGTTGTTGTCTCCATTTTTTCTTTGATACTAAAGATATAATTGGAAAGTCAAAGTACAAAAATACATCTGACAAAAGTCAAAACAGGAATTGATTTTTGCAAAACAGGAATTGATTTTTGCAAACGGAGGGAGTATTATACTATCAATTATTGCCTTATTATGTTTATTGTGAGCAGAATAATCTAAATAAAGTTTATAGCTTTTCAGTAATTCTTCCTTATCAAAGAATGGCCTATTGCAGTCAAATAACACTTACCCAACAGACTTCAAACAAGATGAACACATAAGCTAAGACATTTATCGTGTCAATCTCAACCGTTTGATGGAAATTGGACGGTTGTGATCCGAGAAACTTAACGAGTCGCGGGCATTCAATATCGAACATTTGAGATTAAGGGCACATTCAAAGTGTTGCACACAGCTGCCCCTGTTGGGATGTAGCCGTAGTAACCGAATCCAACGGTCACGATCATTGGGGCATTTGATCGAGCACCCTCATCAGCTACTGTGTATTGTGGTTGACTTTCACAACCCAAATTCTTTCCTATTGGCTCTAAATATTAATCTGTTTAAATTTTATACATAAATGAACTTGTAGAACCTGATTTCCATAAGCATCCCCGAAAGAAAGACTGATTTGGTCTGTGGTGAGAGAGGTGGAATAGCAGCTTGTCCTGATATCCACAGTGAAAGAGCAGGCACCATTCTGTATAAATAAATAAAATAAATAAAGATCTGAAGATCATTCATGGTATTAAAATCAAACATACTGAAATATAATCCATTAATGGCGGATAATAAGTAGTACGAGTAAACTGCATACCTGGTGGTTGTGGGCGGTGGAATTGACGGCGAAGGATAGAGGAGCGGGCTGCGGCCGATGAAGGATTGAATTAGATCTTGCTTGAGAGATGGGTGTCAGAAGCACTAAAATCACTGCGAGGAAAGGAAGAAGATACGATTCCGCCATGGTCGTCCTCAGTTCCTCCTTCACTCTCTCCTTCCCTGTGAATTTGGGGTTTGGTCCTGGAGCAGTCGCGCTATAGACTCTGCTTTACGAGTACCGTGCAACTTTTTGGCCAAACCTGGTAGGTGTGAAAAAATGGTTTCAAAATCTAAATGTAAAATTTGCACTAAATACGATTAAAAAATAATGACTTTCCTAATCTAAGACTTAAATATTTTTATTTCCTAAATAGGACTTATTAATGTCTTGGTGGGAGGAATAATGTCCAATAATGATGGACATTTACTTGAATAATGACTAATTCATAATGACCAAAAGTCATACATTGGGAAATAAAAACATATGGTCCTATATTGGAAAAATCATTATGTTTTAGTCCTATTTAAGTAAATTACTCAATCTAAAATTAATACGGAGTATCATGGGTCATGCTACACTTACACCAAAAATTGTATCCCATTTGTACACTGTAGTTATACACATGGACTAAAACATAATGATTTGGAAATCTTGTTATACATGGACACAAGTGTTGGTGCGTTAACAAAAATTTACACGGACACAAAATGTTGATGCGTTAATAAAATTTAGCATTACACCAACAAAAAATATCGGTGCAAACTTGCGGTGTACAAAATGGGGTACAAAAGTTTGGGGTACAAATAACTTTATCCTAATATCATTTCCAACCTTATTTTAAAATGGTTTGAAAATCTAAAATCTATTTTTAAATTTTAACAAATGAATAATGATATAGTAAGTGATATTTTGTTTCATTTTTTAACCATGGCTTGCTAATCTATTCTATAACTATTGGCTTCCTATAATTTGGAAATCTTGTTATATTCAGCAAATGAAAGTCATTTTTTGTAAGTTTACTAAAATTTAACACACTCATTGGAAAAAAGAAAATGGGTTGACTTGCTATATTATGGCATTTAGCAAGTCAAAGTATAATGATTGAAGATTTTCTAATAAGTAGGGGTGTGCACCGGTCCAAAACCGGACCGGATTGGACCGGAACCGGAATCAGGCATTTATTAAGACCGAAGACCGGACATGTTGGTTACCGGTCCGGACCTGAATTTTCCGGTCTGGTCCGGGGTTACCCTATTATGTACCGGATTTGTTATATTAAAAAAATCACATAAACTAAAATTTGTTATGTAAATATACACAAAATTGACAAAACCATGATTTAATATCTCTACAAATTCATTACAATCACAATGGAGAGATAATTGAGAGATTCATAAGGTAAATTAGGTCTTAGGTTCACAATCCATTAAACACAAAATAGGAAATTTAAATTCTCTGACTCCCAGCATCATTCAGTAACATAAACAACATCATCTTCGAAATTGGTAGCATTCAAATCTGAAATTTAAGAAATAACAAAGTTAGTAATGCATGGGTTATAACTTATGAATATTTTAACTTTAAAAATTTGAATAAAGCATGATCCCCACTGTCAAGTTTTGATGTGGAATGTCTAAAGCAAAAGTTCTACAATATTTGGGACAAAAAAAGATAGAACTGGTTTGTTTAAACTAGAAATCTAAAATGAACAAATACAATAAGCATTTAGGTTAAATTTAGAGGCATAATCAAATGGGCAGTTTAAGCAAATACCAAAAACATAAAAAAATTTATTTGTGGTTACATTTTTTAGTTCTAAAAGACTAAGAGACTAATATATACTGTATAATATTAACTCAAATATAAGAAAAAGTCATGAATCGATAAAGTAAATGAAGAAAAATACATTCATGAATCATGAGTCTAAGATCCTATGTCAACAAATATGTGTTGGAAAATTGATTAATAATCAAAAGAAAAGAAAAAAATAAGGAAAAGGACAAAGAAGATAATAAAGAAGAAAAGGTGATCAAAAATGGAATATTTGATTGATTTTGTGCATGTCATCAAGTCAAAGTGGATTTTGGTTTCTTGACTTCTCAAACCATGCATACGTAGTATTTCATTGGTTATAAAAGCAAGGCAACTATTGTATGTGTATGTGTGTGTGGGGGTTTTACACACCACCAAGGTAGAGAGAAATATAGGGGGAATTCTACACAAGAATACCACCGGGAAAATCCAAGGGGTCTTGGTGAGTGTAGGGAGTAACTGGTTTTAGTTACTCGGAAAAATACATCCGGGCATAGGATGTGGAAAGATCTGTTTATGAGTGTTTGAAATTTAGTCTTGTAAACAGGAGAGAGTTTTTTTGTATATTGCCATGAAATAGTGGAAATATAATTTTTTTCTCTCATATTTTCTTCTGGTGTTTGTTCTCTCGTTTTTCTAGTGTTCTCAATATTTTTCGGTATCTTACGCGCTTAAAATCCCAACAATTGGTATCGGAGCTTGGTTACGCTGGGCAGGAGGGATTTGTAAGCGGTAAAAGGAGAAATTTTGAGAACCCGGGGACTGGTCGGTTTGGCCAGAAGGCGACCATGGGACTTCAAGAACAAAGTGGATGGCATAAGGACCGGGTACGAAGCGGCATGCTGGCTTTGTGAAGTATGGTGCGGGAATAGGACTTGAGGAGATCAGTGGTCTAGCGGAGTGGAAAACTGCGGTTTTGTGTCTTGTGTCGAAAGTCTTCTCGGCAAGAAGAGGTCGGGCGGCGTGTCTTGCAGGTGTTGCTGCGGCGGTGCAAGACGGGCAGATCGAAAGAAGCTAATTGCTAGATGGGTGGTCTCAGAGAGTGTTAACAAATGTGAGTTGTCATTTTTTTAGCTCGGGGTGGAGGGTTAAAACTCTAAGGAGCTAAGGTAGTGGCGGTGATCTTGACGGGTTGGTTGAGATGGAGCCACGGGTACAACGATAACTGGAAATGGTGAGGACCTTGTCGTATTGAGCAAGGTGAGGCCACGACCATGAGTCAACACATGGTGGCGGAGAGCTTGCGGTATTGAGCAAGATAGGGCATGAAAATTTTTTCAAGGTGGTAGTGATCTTGGTGGTTGGACCAAGGTGGAGCCACGAGGATTTTTTTTCTTCTTTGAGGTTGGCAGCGGTGATCTCGGTGGAGCAGACTAAGATGGCGCCAAGGATAATTTTTTTCGGAGTAGCGGTGATCTCACCGGAGAAGTGAGGTGGAGCTACAAAGTTTTTTTTTGATTATTTAATCAAGGTGGAGTTTGTTGGGAAATTGATTAATAATAAAAAGAAAAGAAAAAAATAAGAAAGAGGACAAAGAAGATAATAAAGAAAGAAAGGTGATCAAAAATGGAATATTTGATTGATTTTGTGCATGTCATCAAATCAAAGTGGATTTTGGTTTCTTGACTTCTCAAACCATGCATACGTAGTATTCATTGGTTATAAAAGCAAAACAACTATTGTATGTGTATGTGTGTGTGTGGGTTTTACACACCACCAAGGTAGAGAGAGAAACCTGAGGGGAATTCTACACGATAATACTACCGGGAAAATCCAAGAGGTCTTGGTGAGTGTGGGTGAATGTAGGGAGTAACTTGTTTTAGTTACTCGGAAAAATACATCCAGGCATAGGATGTGGAAAGATTTGTTTATGAGTGTTTGAAATTTAGTCTTGTAAACAGGAGAGAGTTTTTTGTATATTGTCATGAAATAGTGAAAATATAATTTTTTCTCTCATATTTTCTTTCTTGTGTTTGTTTTCTCATTTTTCTAGTGTTCTCAATATTTTTCGGTATCTTACGCGCTTAAAATCCCAATAATATTAAATTAGAACTAAAATTTAAATTTTAAGTATAAAGTCATGCTAGGAATCACCCTTGCTAGGAAATAGAAGTAGAAATTGAATCTAGAAATATTTGCACTAAATAGCACTAAAACTTAAGTCATTTCCTTACATAACACTTAAATTGTTTTATTCTATAAATAGCACTTAATAATATCCATAATGTCATGTGATGACGAATATTTCTTTGAATAATGACTAATGCATAATGACTAAAAGTGCTACATTGGGAAGAAAAGCACATGTGGTGCTATTTAGAGAAAGTCATTATGTTTGAGTGTTATTTAAGTAAATTCTCTTGAATTTATAACTCTTCTCCTTGTTTTTTTTCATTTCCGTTAGCAGCAATCCGCAATCCGCATATTCCGGTGAGAACGAGTCGGCGACTCTGGCGGCGGCGAGAACGAAAAGCAGAGGACGAACGATTCCGGCGATGGAGGAGCTGATTGACGAGATGCGAGTATGCGACGAAGGAGGAGCTGATTAACGAGTTGCGGGCTTGCGGCTGTAGGCGATAAAGAGATGCGGCTGTAGGCGATTAGTCACAGATTTGATTAATTGGATTGGGCTTGGATAGTTGGATCAGTGGATAAGAAACGGATAGGTATAAAAAATTAATAATAATAATATATATAAAAATTCCGGTCCAGACCAGTTATTTCCGGGTTCTAGACCGGATCGGACCGGAACCCGGAATCCAATATTTGTTAAGACCGGAGACCGGACCTGATTACTCCGGGCTGGTCCATTCCGGTCCGGGTCAGGTTTAATTTCCGGTCCAGACCGGTTCTTACACCCCTACTAATAAGGGCACAGTTTTCAAAACTTTAGTGATCGAACCGGTCAAATTAGTGGTTCATTAGTGAGTATATTTGGCAAAACGGTGAGGTTCTAGTGACAGCAGAGTACGGTAACACTGGCATTTTGGGGTACCTCCGGTGCTTCGTTTTCAAAATTAACGGTTCCTACTTCCCCTAACTCACCCCCTAAACCCCCCACCCTACCCCCGCCCCTGCACCCCCACCCCCACCCCGCCGTAAGCCCCCACAAAATGTGTGGCTACTAATAGTCACACATTTTGTGGGGGCTTACGGCGGGGTTGGGGTGGGGGTGCAGGGGCGGGGGTAGGGTGGGGGATTTAGGGGGTGAGTTAAGGGGAGTAGGAACCGTTAATTTTGCGAATGGAGCACTGGAGGTATCCTAAAATGCCAGTGGCACCGCTAGTGGCACCATACTCCGGTGTCACTAGAACCCCACCGTTGACCTAAATTATTAATCATGGAATGATTTTAAAAAATTAAAGACTACCTATATAATATCTAAGAATTAGAAACAAAATATAGAAAACCACATGTTATAAGAAACTATTTATAAAATTTACTCTTTGAAACTTACCAACATAAACAATAATTTTAACATTTTTCATATTTCGTTGTAAAATAAGATTTATAATATCAATAGTATTATAGTGTAAAATAATCTCAAAAACCCCTATAAAATGTCAAAATGTAATGCTAGTGTGATCGTTTCACGGTGCCAAACTTTTATTTAATACAGATTACATAAAATATAAAATATTCCATTCTTATATATGTTTCACATTGTAATTTTATTTGAGTCAATTATATAAATTATAATGCGTGATTTTTCATATTTAGCTTCTAATTCTAAGATAATACATTTGTGGTCTTCAATTTTTGATAACTACTCAATAATTAGTTTAAGAATTATATGTTGAAAAGAAAATTCTTACTCATGTTTGTTTTAAATAATTAATTGTGCAATAATTTTCAAATATTGAGTACTACAAATGTAATATTTTAAAGTTAGAGATTAAATATAAAAAACTATCAATTATAATGAACTATTTATAGAATTTACTCATTGCATTTTATTTGATGTTTTTCACTTTCGATTAGGGCAATAGTACGCCCCATGGCGTCATTGCCCTTTATGCCTAAGGGACGTTAAACACCACTCTCTGAGGTTTTTTCCGGACGTTTTGCACTGAATCTCTCCATTCAAACGGTTACAAGCCGTTACAGACTAAAAAAATCTCTTCTATAAATTAACTCATTTTTAAAAATAAAACTCACAAACAAAATCTCTCTCTTCTTCAATTTTTTTAAAAATAAACACACACAATTACTATGCAAATAATTAAATATAGGTCGGCTTTGTGATTAAAACAATTCAATTTCATGCCATTTTCAAAAGGGGCAGTATCATGTCATCAATGTCAAATCACATATTAATGCTTCGAACATTAAAAAGTATTTTTTATATTTAAAAGAATTATCAAACTTTAAAAAGCGTGAACCAATATTTATGTGCATGTTTAATTTATCAAGAAGTGAACTCTTCAGTTATAATTTTTGTATAGTAACTTAATTTTTCAATGAAAATATATAATTTGAGTTGTAATAAGTTAGTTTAAGAGTTTAATTAAGATTAACTAAGTTAAAGTCCTTCCAAAAAATAAGAATCTAAAATATTAAAAAATATCCGCAACAAACAGCAATGTATAATTAAATACTCTCTTCCTTCTATGTAAAAGGACACATGAGTTTTTTCTTAAAGATTATGGAAAATTTTAGAAGTGAGTAAAAAATTAGTACTTTCTCCGTCATTGAGAATTTGTCTAGTTTTGACTTTTTCGGTCAAAATTGATAAACTTATACATCAAATAAAATAAAAATGATATTAGATATTGATACAAAAATAGTTTTATTACATTTATTATATCAAATATTTTTCAAAATATTACTTTATCTAATTAATATAAAATATATATTTTATTTAATTATAGGTTAAAAATTAAAAATAATTGACCAAAAAAATCAAAACTAAACATATACTGGGCTAACATGATTAAGGGCATGTTCTTTAGTACTGGAAAAAAAGAGCTGGATGTTGGAAGAAACTGGAAGAACTAGAAGAAACTGGAAGGAACTCGAAGAAACTAGATTACTCGAAGGAACTGAAAGATACTGGAAGAAACTAGAAGATATTGGAAAAATTGAAAAAAATTAAAAGAAACTGAAAAAAACTAGAAAAAATTGAAAAATTTTTAAAAACTTTTTTTTAAAAATTATGTGTGGTTTTTTATTATTCTCATTCTGATTCTTGTTGTTATAAATTATTATTATTATTATTATTATTGTTGTTGTTGTTGTTGTTGTTGGTGGTGGTGGTGGTGGTACGTAGTGGTGGTGTTATCACGTTATCTTAATGATTGTCTTTAAGATAAAAAATATTACGAGTTTTATGTTTTATATATAAAAACTAGTTTTAAAAAATAATTAGAATATAAAATTAGCATAAATATTACACTTCTTGGGTCATTTTTTCTTTTTCAGAATGTAATTTTATCTTGATTTTCATAATATTATTCTTCATTTCTTCCCGACCCTTAAATGTAATTTACCTTATATAACTATTTATTCATAATTTTTTAAATAGTTTCCTAATTTTTCATGTAGATTAATATACAAAAAAAGGTATTATTCATATTAAAAAGTTGAAGAAACTGGAAGAATGAATGTGAATCATAAAAATAGTGAGATAAAAAATGAAATAATTTATAAACTATAGTTATGAATATAAAAGTTGTAATTAAAAATAGTTGTAATAATAATAATATATTTTTTTAGAGTGATTTGTTAGAAAGTAGAAAGAATTTGAAGAAAATAAATATAATTGGAAGAAATTAGAACAAACTGGATAAAACGGGAAGAAATTAGAAAAAACTGGAAGGAACTGAAAAAACTGGAAGAATAGGAAAAAACTAGAAGGAACGGGAAGGAACTGAAACAAAGTGAAACTTAACCCTAAGTACCCGGATTTGAAATAAATTACTCTAATTTTAAGTAATTAGATTTTCTTGCAGCTTGTGTTACAAGCGTTGTATTAGAGGTATATATACCCTACGTCGCTCTCTCTTTCAGCTGAAAAAAACTCAGCCGTTCCACTGCCCGTCCGCTTCCAGCCGCTTCGTCCGACTCCGACCGCCGCGCCAGGTGTACCCTACGTCCGCCATCCGATCTCGACCTTAAGTTTCATACTTTTCTCTAAATATCATGCAAAGAGGTAAGTAACTAAAGTCGATTTTGAATCAGAAACATCTGTTATATTTTGCCTTTAGTTTGCCGTGCTATTTGTTTATTTTGCATTTGATGTTCTAAGAGCTTGTTCTCTTCAACCTATTCTATTTAATCATTACTTGTTCTTATTGAAATCATATCATAAACAGTTTTAAATATAACTACAACAGATAAGTTGATAAGCTGAGGAGAATAAGCCCTAATTTACTGTATGTTTATTATTTTCATTACATTTGTAATTTTTTTGTAGCTTAAAACGTAAAAATTTATATTTCAGAGCTGGACTTCCAAAAATTTTCTTTTGAAATTTCATAATTGATTGTTGGTTTTATGATAGGTTATTATTTAGTATTTATATGATGTGATTAAGAATTCCCAGATTGATCTGTAATTCCTTGTGGCTAGTTGCTTTTTCTTTGAGTATTTCCTCAATTATAGAAATTTGGTACAATGATATTTGTTGATACATTGTAGTTGAGGATACTATGACATTCAATAAAAAACAAGATTTATTTCTCTTTTCGAATATATTCTGGATGTGAAAAATTTACAACAAATACAATGTTCAAGATGAGAGAAAAATTTAGAATTTCATCCGATGTTCAAGACGAGATATATGGTGTACATAATTATCTTCAACACGTGTTTATCCTGACCTTTTCTCATCTTGGGATGCCATGTGTTGAATTTTCTGGGTGCCTCTGTAGATTTTCATCCAAATGTTCAAGATGAGATATATGGTGTGCCTAATCAATCAGGCAATGTGGCCCTCTCACCTCATAAATTATATCTTTTAGACTAAAGATCTACTACTACGTACATTTTTGCAGTCTGGAAATGGGGGTTCCAAAGAAAGCTACAAGATCTAGTAAGAGGGGAGGTCAAAGTGTATCCACGGCATCAATGTGTGAAGGGCTTGAACAACTGGGGAATAGTGACAATGATACTAACTACGAAGAGATTGAAACCTGTCCCGTTACCTTTACAGGAAAGAAAAAGAAATCATCTAAAAAGAGTAATCCATTCTATTTGGATGATGATGCCAGTTTTAATAATATAAATACCGATTCATTTGAAGAGGATGCCACTGCTCAGGAAGAGGAAGATGATGCATCTACGATTGTGTTTTGTGGGAAAAAGAAGTCTTCTAAAAAGAAGAGTCAATCTGCATTCAATATCCTCCAGGAAGAGTCAGTTAGTGATGGGAAACAGAGATTAACTGAAAGTGACAAAGAAATAGAAGGAACAAAAAGCAAACAAGTTCATGTTGACCCTCTTGGAATTTCAAAGGCCAATTCAAAGAAGAAGAAGGGTGGAAATACATATCAAGAAGATGATGAAATTGACAAGATTCTAGCTGAGCTCAGCGATGCTGCACCAATTCCTTCTAATACTGCTCTACCTCCCCCTGGAGAGATGTTACAGGTAGAACCTGAACCAAAAGGTAAAACAAAGAAAAAGAAGGGTGGAAAAAAAACTGAAGGGAAGGATGAAATTGACACAATTTTGGCCGAACTTGGAGAGGGTTTGCGAACTTCCAAACCTGACCCTGCTTCTTCTCCACAAGAGGAAAAAGACCAGGATCTTCTTGAAGCAAGAGAAGATATTCCTGAAAAGGAAACAGTGGAGGGGGTGGTGGAGTCTGCAGCTGCGAAGAAGAAGAAAAAGAAAAAAGAGAAAGAAAAGGAGAAAAAGGGGGTGGCAGCTGCAGCCGCTGGACCTGTGTTTGTGGAAAGGCAGGAAACAAAAGCTGATGGCAAGGGTAAGGGTGACAAAAAAGTCCCTAAACATGTCAGAGAGATGCAGGAGAGGCTTGCAAAACTTAAAGAAGTAGAAGAAAGGAAGAAAAGGGAAGAGGAGGAGAAGTTGAGGAAGGAAGAAGAAGAACGTCTCCGTCTAGAGGAGTTAGAGAGGCTTGCAGAGGAAAGAAAACGCTTAAAAAAGGAGAGGGAAAAGGAAAAAATGTTGAAGAAGAAGCAAGAGGGGAAGTTGCTGACCGGAAAGCAAAAGGAAGAAGCTCGCAGATTAGAAAAGATGAGAAAGCAAATACTCACAAATGCCGGGGGCTTACCACTCCCTGGTGGGGAGACTGCTATGGATGGAACGAAACGGCCAAAGTACCAAACAAAGAAGGCAAAACAACAATCCCATGGTAATGATAACCCTGTTTCTGCCACTACTGAAATCAGTGATGTGAAGGAAGCTGAGCATGAAATTATACCCGAGGTTGACTCTTTGGAAACAGAGAAGGTTGAAGAATTGGATTCATCGAATTCAGATGACAAATCAGAGGCTGTTGATGCTGAAGAAAATGAAATTGAAGATGATGAAGACGGTGATGATTGGGATGCAAAAAGCTGGGATGAAGATGATCTCAGACTGCCTGGTAGAAGTGCATTTTCTGATGAGGAGGTAGATGGCCAACCCAAAGCTCTAGCAAGAAAACCAAAAAAGATTGCACAGGCAGCCGGTTGTGATTCAGGTGCTCTATCTGTTGCTTCTAAGCGAACCCCTATAAATGCGCCTGCTGTATCTAAAGTTGAGGACATTAATATAAGGGACCCAGAGTATGAGAGCAAGGAAAAAAGTTGCCAAGAAAAAAAAGAAGCACAAAAACCTGTTGCAATGCCAGACAAGAGTGAAAGGAACCTCCGTTCTCCCATTTGCTGCATTATGGGTCATGTTGATACTGGGAAAACAAAGCTCCTTGATTGTATACGAGGCACTAATGTCCAAGAAGGTGAAGCAAGAGGGATCACTCAACAGATTGGTGCGACTTACTTTCCTGCGGAGAATATAAGAGAGAGAACTAGGGAACTTAAAGCTGATGCTACCCTGAAGGTGCCTGGTTTAATTGTTATTGACACCCCAGGGCATGAGTCATTTACTAATCTCCGCTCTCGAGGGTCAGGACTATGTGATATTGCAATTTTAGCTGTGGACATTATGCATGGACTAAAGCAGCAAACTATTGAGTCACTCAATCTTTTAAAGATGAGGAATACCGAGTTCATAATTGCTTTGAACAAGGTATGTTATTAAGACGATGCCATCCTTTTTCTTGGCTTATAGTGATGATACTAAGGGTATTTTTTATATCATTCTTTTGAAATTAGGTTGACTTGCTCTATGGGTGGAAAACTTGCAGTAATGCACCTATTCAGAAGGCAATGACACAACAGAATGCAGATGTAAAGCTTCAATTTAAGCAAAGGGTCATTCAGGTCTTGCTAAAGCTACTTGAACTTATCAATGTCCTCAATCTCTAAATTCACATTGATTTGCTCAGCTGACAATTGAAGTATTATAAAATTCCAGATAGTGACACAGTTCAAAGAACAGGGAGTGAACACAGAATTGTATTATAAAAACAAAGATATGGGTAAAGATACATTCAGCATTGTTCCCACTAGTGCTATCAGGTGATTCCATTTACCCGTTTTTAGTTTATGGTGCATCAGTTATAAGTTGTATTAATATTTTTTTATTTACAATTTTTTGTTTCTGGTTTGGATCTTTTCTTCCCTCTCAAATCCATGCTAACATTCATTAATAAAAATACTTCATGATGCTATGGTGATTCTGAATTAACAGCGGTGAAGGTATTCCTGACTTATTGCTCTTACTTGTCCAATGGGCTCAAAGGACAATGGTTGAGAGACTTACATTTAGCAATGAAGTCCAGGCATGCTTTCGTCATATATCTCACTTGTGTTTCTCAGAAAACAAAATTGTGAAAGTAGTGTTCTGAGTGTTGTTACCCTTTGGCAGTGTACTGTATTGGAGGTAAAGGTGATTGAAGGCCATGGGACAACAATTGATGTGATACTAGTAAATGGGGTGCTTCATGAAGGAGACCAAATAGTTGTTTGTGGCATGCTGGTAAAAAATCCTTATTATGGTATATACTCTGGAAAATTATTGTTGCTGTACCTTTATTTATGGTCTTTTTTTTGGCGTTCAAGGGTGAACCTGTCGTGACCTCCATCCGGGCATTACTGACCCCTCACCCAATGAAAGAACTTCGAGTAAAGGTTGGTTCCAATTCTTCTTGCGATTATTATTCTTATATACATATACATTCAATGTTAATTCAACATCACTACACACTAGTTTATCATGGTTCTTTTACTTGTAATTAACATGGCTTCTTGTTTTTACAGTGCTAGCATTTATAGGGACATAGTATTCTGTAGGTATATATATTTCTTAGTAATTTTGGGTTCACCCTATTAACCTGCGTTCCGTAATTATTAAGCCATCACCTAGATGTATACAAGGAGCTTGCCAGGTGCACTTTTATGTTTTGCATTTTTTGTATTGAGATAATACATTTATTTTTCTCGTGTAGTGTCTCAAATAAATTTGGTTCCCTTGTGTTTTTTTCTACAATTGATGACGTATTCTAAAAATAGAACCTTTTCTGATTCTTGGACTTTCTGGTTTAGTTCTCCCAGTTTTTAAATTAAAATTTTTCCTAATTTTCTGATTTGCTGCTTTTGTTTCTGTTTTTTTTTAAGATTTTCTCTCTATGATATTGATTCTTTTTCTAATTTGTGTTTTTTTGTTTACACATGGTTTTGAAAGTTGAAACAAAGTTTTTTTATTAGCCTTAAGGTTTTAAATAATTTTGTAATGGTGTAGAATAACTTTGAAAATGCCCAAGCTTAACATTCCTGTTAGATAGCCTTTTCAAAACAAGCACTTAATGTTTACTCCCTTTGTCCCAAAAAACTTTTCCTATTTTGAACAACGTGCAAAATCTCATCTATTTTAAAATAATTGTATTTACAAATTGAAATAAAAGTACCACTTACATATTTAAAATAACATCAAAAGTTCTACAAAACAATTGACGACAATAATATTTATTTTATGATTTTTATCAATGACCAATGAGAAAGCACATGCAAACAAAAGCAATCGGAAGTCTGGAATAGTAAAAAGGAAGAGTTTTTCACCTTTTTGGGACAGAGGGAGTATTTAGCTAATTATGTCTCTTATTATGTTCATATTAATTGTGGTCTAGATTTGAGTAGATGGGACTCACTCATAATTACAAATTTTGTAGTACAATATAGTGTACACTATATTTAAAGTACTGTTAAAAATTTTTCTTGTGGCCTAATTGTCGCCTAGTTGGTCCACTCGAGTTGGGTCGTGCCTCAACTGATAACTATGCGGATTCTCACGGCACATGGCAGAGTCCAGAACAAAAGGAACATATATGGATATGAAAATGAAATTTACAGGTAGCCTTATGTTTTTTGTGATGCATAAACAATCCTATTAAGGGTATTTCTATTTTGTCTGCAGGGTACATATTTGCACCACAAAGAAATCAAGGCTGCGCAGTGCATAAAGATTACTGCACAGGTAATGGCTAGTTTGTATGTAATTTTTCAAATTGAAATGGGGAATTGGTGCTGAATGAGGAAACAAAAAACAAAGAATGAAGATCCATGAAAAAATCTGAGTTAAATCAGGGCTTGGTTATTTTGATGGATTGTGTGTACACCGTGTTCAGTTCTCTCCAACGCAGCGTTAAACCAACAATATAGAGCCTCTTTTTAATTGAAGGGCAATTGGGTCATTTTCACTCCTTCATTGGTTTGTGTGCCAAAAAGAAACTGGACATAAATTGAGGGACGAAGGGAGTATTTAAGTACACGGCCCGGTTCCGTGGCCACTGGAATCCAGTGGCCATGGAACCGGGCCGTTAAGTACATAGTTCTTAAAAACTCTTACATTAGCGGGTTGGTCAAGTTGGGTTTGGGTTCACCTGCGTTTGATCCATTTATAGTGTCATTTTGGGTTCGTTCATCTTTGGATTCGGTCAACAAAACCTTTGTTCAAAACCACTATTTTGGCTTGGGTCCTGGGTCAAAAACAAGACGGGTCAATATTGCCAGGTCTTTTCGTCTCAGTCAATTTAGTTTTTGTAACTATGTTATTTTCTAAATTTGTGTTATCTTGCTATCTACTCTCTGTTCCCCGACATATTTTCCCTACAGAAACTTTTAAATACACAATTATCCATGTAGTTAATGCCTCTATTTTGTTGTAAAAGTCAATCATTCTGTCATTTCCTTATTAGCAGGGAATCTATTTGATGTGCCAGTATGTTCATTTAATAAATGATAAAAAATGCAATTAGAACTTCAGAAATTGATTCACAGAGTAGACTGTTTAGATAAGATGGGGGGGGGGGATCACGCCATCACGGTTGCCCCTAGGTTTTTGGTCTTTCTGGATTTTCAAGCTGAGCACACACCCACACAATTAGGAACTATGCCCAAGTGGGTTGTTCATGTGAACTGTTGTTACTGAAAGTATCTTTTTCTTAGTTAATTGTTTGCAACGGGTTCTTGTGCAGGGCCTTGAACATGCTATTGCCGGCACTAGTTTGTATGTTGTGGGACCGGATGATGATGTGGATCACATAAAAGAAGCAGCCATGGAAGATATGAGGTCCGTGATGAGCCGGATTGATAAGGGTGGAGAGGGTGTTTATGTTCAGGCATCTACGCTTGGATCACTAGAAGCTTTGCTCGAGCATCTAAAAAGTCCTGATGTTAGCATACCAGTTAGTGGCATTGGGATAGGCCCCATACACAAAAAGGATGTCATGAAAGCCAGTGTCATGCTTGAGAAGAAGAAAGAATATGCAGCAATCTTTGCCTTTGATGTTAAAGTTACACAAGAAGCTCGTGAACTTGCAGATGAATATGGTGTGAAGATTTTCATTGCTGATGTCATGTATCATTTGTCTCATCAGTTCAAAGCCTACATTGATCATCTCAAGGAGGAAAAGAAAAAGGAAGTTGCTGATGAAGCAGTCTTTCCGTGTAGACTTAAGATTCTGCCTCATGTATTCAATACGAAGGATCCCATCATTCTAGGCGTTGAAGTTTTAGATGGCATTGCTCGGGTAATTAACACCTCTTTCATCATTATCTTGTTATTATTTTTGTAACTTATTTTCTTGATAGCTTGGTGTTGCATAAGGTTATCTTATTCCTTGATAAATTTGTTAACCTTATGTTTATTGGTTAGCTCATGCACATTTAGGCCATGTTCTCTTTCCCCGATTTGAATGGTTCTTATCTTATTGGTATAAGTTCTCATCTGACCTGATCTAATTTGATTCCAATAAGAAGTGGAAGAAAACATGACCTTACTGGCTTGCTTGGCATTGAGATTGAATATTTGTTAAGAGATTTCAGAATTGTACTCCATATAATTTAAATGTCAATTTTATGTTTGGCAATTCAATCACTTAATGTGGTGGTGTATGAATATGTAATCCGAAGGCATCAAATTTGTGCTTTAGTTAAGTTGGGTTATGGGGATGAATGACACAAATGGGTTTCTAAACACAAAAAAATTGTAGTGTACAATTGGATATTCTATAATGACTTCACAAAGTGCAATTCCAAACATGTATTCAGCTAGGAGTGTATCTGCAAGGCATTATTATTCTTCTGTCATATATCTTACGGGGATTTGCTCATTGTTTGGCGATCTCGTCAGGTTGGAACTCTTATTTGTGTTCCTCCATTGGCTTCAAGGGACATGGTTGAGATTGGTCGGATTGCATCTATCCGTAACAACGATAAACCTGTCGGCTCTGCAAAAAGAGGACAAACAGTAACCGTTCAGGTACGAATCCAGCTGAAATTTGTTACGAGGAATCTTTTAAAGGGGTGCTTTAATGTCCTTACTTACCCACTACTCCTAACTGCATTTTCTCGGAACATGATTTTTTTTTAAATCGTGTTGATTTCACAGATAGTTGGGTCAAATTCTGAAGAGCGACAGAAGATGTTTGGCCGGCATTTTGATGTGGGAGACGAACTCGTCAGCAAGATTTCCAGGAGATCTATCGACGTACTCAAGGAACATTTCAGGGTATCCCAATTCTTCTCTCTCTCTCTCTCTCTCTCTCTCTCTGTCTTTTGTAAGGGCACACACATTTTTCGAAGTCCTGCTTTCCAAAACTTAAGTCTTCTTCTTCTTGTGTTGCAAAATTGTACAGAAGGACCTTTCTGTGGAAGAATGGAGGCTGGTTGTGGATCTGAAGAAGAAGTTGAGGATACAATGAGTCCTCGGCGTTCACTCTTTGGAGACAATCATATATATATACAGACAGTTCTGGGAAGTCTTCTTCCATGAGCACCGTATAAAATGAGCACTCTCTTGTAGTATTATCATACTGCTGCCGATTTGGGTTGTTAAATGTTATTTTAGCAAATTTTTTACTTTCATTTTTTTTTTCTAATTAGATTTTAACAATCTTTTTTTTACCACTTCTCTTAAATCTTGCGAAGTTAATGGGTGACAACTAATTTGGGATGGAGGGAGTATATTTGTGCTTTTAAATTAATTATGTTCAAATAATTTTCTAATATTTGGGATGTGTTAAAAGATTATTCATACATCCCACCCCATCCTCACTATAGGTCTAATATATTGCTTGCATTTCAAAGTATTTAGTCAGTTTTAGATGAAACTTTTTTCAATTAAATTTTTTTTTGTGCAAATTGGTACGAACATTGGTTTTATTATGTCTATTTTGTAGAAATTTTTTACTCCCTGGATATTTGTCGCACTTGTATTCCCGAGGCAAAATATCAAGTTTTTTCAATTCATTTTATTTACATATTGGTATAGAAATAAAAAATAAAATTTACATACCAAAAAATTACATGAAAAGTTTTTCGAAATAAGAAGTGTCAAGAATATTTTATTTTATCAAATAACCAATAAAAACGTAGAAATGAACAAAAGTTTCCGCAACTGTTAAAAAAGTAAGTGGCAAATATTTTGGGATGGAGAGGGTACTTTTGTCTCAAATTAAATTGCTTGTTTTCTATTAATAGGGTCAAATTTTATTCACTTTCTTTTTCTGTTTTGTTAATCATTTAATAAAATAATATAATCATGTTATTACTACTTCTATAGACCTTTGATTTTGTTTTTATATATGTAAATTTATTATTTAATTCTACATTATTTTTCATATAAAATTATTTGAAAATAAGTTCAATCAAACGTTGTTAATCGAAACATGCGATTAAAATTGGGACGGAGGGAGTAAAAAATTATTTCATTACATTAATATGTAATGTAATTTGATGTAACTCACGAATAAAATTAGTGTAGTTAACTTGAAATAGTTAAATTAACAAATATTATAAAACAAATGGAAGTAGCAGGTACAGGGAGTATTACGGAGTATTACTATACAAATGTCACTTTTTCAAGTACCCAAAACCCTCCCAAGCAAAACATCCAAAAAGAAGACCAAACACCTAAGAGCAACTCTGGGAGAGGTATCTGAGAAGGTAAAGAAAAATATTTGTGATATATACATGTTTTCATTAAAAATCATTCTCTAATGGGAGAGGTAAACAAGAATGTATTATTATAAATTATTAATTTGTATTTTTGTCATTGTAAAACTTAACGAGTCAAGAATTAACAAAAAAAGAATACTTTATTTTTTAATCTTGCACACTGTATTTTTAAGTTTTTTCTATTCGGGTATTTATAGTTTTACATGTGTAATTAGACATAATGTATATTTAACTATTTCAAAACTGACATTCAATTTTTTTACAATAAATTAGTTGTATTTTTATAAAATCTTTAAATTTAAAAATTTAATCAAGAAGAAACAAAGGCAACAAACCTCAAATTTACCTCCCCATGATTTTTTTAAGAATGTATATTTTCTTTTCTAATAATTAAAATTTGATTTAAAAAGGTAAATCAACTAATTTTTTCCCAATCATGTATGGAGATGTGTTTTTTCCCTCTTTTGCCTTTTGATTTACCTTCCCCCATTGGAGTTGCACACTTTTTGGAAAGGTAAACTTGATCATTTGGAGAGGTAAATGAGACATATACCTCTCCAAGACATCTCTTACCATTGGAGTTGCTCTAATAATGATTAAGAGAGCGTATTCAAAACAGGCACTTGTTTTGTTAGAGGAATTGGACACCATAGAGTTTTTGTTCTTTTCCAGACAAGTAAATGGAGAAGACGATGAATGGTCACTCAGAACTCAACAGGCGGCTTCAACCTTACAAGCCGTTTGATTCTCTCTTTCTCTGTGTTCTCCAGCAGCCCCTGTGAACCAAACACAAAATTAATACAAGGAGAACTCATAGCAAACACCAGTACACAACAACCAGACACCATTTGGCCATAGTATATAGGACTAGGTATCAAATGAATAGTCATTTTGGCACATGGCAACTTGCACCTTAACAAACCCAAACTCTAAGTAACTTAGTTGGTTCGTGGGTAGGATGTCATGTCCAAAGATCTTAGGATCGAATCCCGGCAGCAGTAGTGTGGGAGTCTTATTCTTTGTAATAACTCCTTGTGCGCAATGGGCACGTGGCGGCTCTCTAAAGACCAGACTAAGATTATACCATGATTTACCCTCCTCACTATCCTGTCGGGCCGGGGGTGGGCGTTCTACCTTTTTCTAATCCCAACTCTGTTGGGGTTTCTGAAGGGTTTAAATGTATGCAATGTGATTATCTCGTAAAAAAGAGAGCTTGTTTTCGGATATAAGACTAAATATCAAGTGATTGTTCGTTTTCGCACATAGAGACTTGCACAACAAACCCTAATATAATCCTAATTCAGTTGGAATTTGGAGGGTCAAAATGTACGCAATCTAACCACATGAAAACCAGAAGTTATTTTTGTATATAGGAGTAATAGGACAATATCCAGTGAATGGTCATTTTGGCACATAGCAAATGGAGTTGGTGGCACAAAATTTAGGCACTGTTTGGTGACCTTGTGTGGCTTATTCTGCTCATAACAAGAATAAAAGACCTTTCCTCATACTTATTTGGCTAAAATAGATGTTACCAAACACTTTCTTTTCTAAAAGTCAGCACATATTCCGCCACAAATTCAAAAGTAGGAAAATGTGATAGTAGTTGATAGAGGTTCAAATGCAAATTTGATATTGTATAAGATAACATGCAAAGAAACTTTTGACTGGCTCTGTATTGGAACATCAGATGCCACAAGGCTATATAGACTATGATTGGAATTCAGAAAATGATAGGGAATGAAAATAAAATGTCTAAGGAAAATAAATTTTATGTTTGGTTCTACATTAAACAAATTTGATTATAATATTTTAACTTTTACTATACATATATTCAAAATTAGACAGAATGATTGTTTTGGGTGAAGTGTGAATCATTTTTTTATTTTTGCATCAACTTTCACTTCTTCCTAATTTCCTTTCTAATTTCCTACCTATTTTCTTTATGTACTCTCTGCATCCCAAAATTACCTTCCCACATTTTTATGTTGTCCAAAAATCAACTTCTCATTTTCTCTTCTTGCCTGCACCCTTCACTTTTATCAATTAAAAATACATTTTTACCCTCAATAACCTACATATTAACATGAGACTTCACTTTTACCAAAAAAAAGTTGGCAAGGACATTTATATACGGAGTAATTTTCTATCCTCTCATAGTTTTCGTGCCATTTTCACTTGAGAAGATAATTTTGGGACAAAGGGAGTAACATTTTCTGAGTTCCAAACTAACCTACAAATTCAAGGATTTTTGCTCACCTTGCACACAATCTCATCCAGGCACAGGCAAATCTTTCCATACTTGTCCAAGAAAAGGCGCTCCGATGGAGGTTTTCCACATACATCCTTAATGCTCGATGTTATCACGAAAATTGCTTCAGACACTTAACAAAGCCAAACAGATTGAATGATTAGAGCAAATACCACATAAGATTTCTTAAAGAGCTACAATCAACTTGATAATAATTAGTCTCATATAGTATACTCACATGCAAGTTCATCATATTCATCCTTGCCAACAACATAAATGCTGACATCTCCAAGCAACGTGTACACAATATAAACTGATCTGCCCATGTAGATAAAAGATGTAGATATGATTATATGAGAAATTGAATACCCAAACTAGCCCCAGCCCTAGGGATGCTATTTGTTGATACACAACATACTTGTAACAACTACAACTTCATCTTTTAGATAAGACTCCAGTTCAGATATTCTATAACTCCATAGGGTCTGTTTGGAAGTTGGAAAATTGATAGAAACAGGGAGGAAAATATATAGGGAAAAATCTGAAGGAAAGAATATTGGAGGAACAGAACAAAAGCTCAATCTATTTTTTTATTTCTTCAAAACTCAATTTATTTATTGGTTTCTATTATACGGACTATAAAGACTAGAAAATCCAGAACACGTGTATAGTTTTATAGATCACAATACATTCTTCCTTTACATTTCCCGATAGAAAAAGAAACACAACAAAAATAACGTTCCTAGGCATTTTTTCAATTGCCTAGCATTTTGGAGGATCCAAACATGCCCTTAGGGGGTGCTTATAGCTGAGAAGTAAATATAGAAGTAGACAGAGATGCATTTCAAATATCTGAAGAGTAATTGCTGATTGTGTTTAAAAAAAAGGAAGAATGCGGATTGGAAAATCGTTAACCACCCACACGAAGAGATCTTCAGGAAAGAATCAAATACTTGTGACAAGCAAAAGAATCACAATGAGAGGTATCAAAGAGTAAACGAATCAAATACTTGTGACAAGCAACGAGGAGCTCTTCATTCTTTGTTCCTTTAAGATTTTCTGCTCCCAGCTTGACTAGGAAAGACCGCCAATGCAAACGCTCTTCTGCGGGCACACCATTAAACCTGTACGAAAAATATCAGTAACACTAAGAACAATTCATATAATCAAAATGAAAAAACACGCAGCAACTTCTTCACACTGATACACAATACCACTATTCTACCAATCTTAGCTCTCTCTACAGCTACAACTAACTATAATGGGAGTCCTCTTTCATTGTTTCCTCTTTCACCAAAACACTTTCACTTTATATTAAAAACTCACTTTTACCCCTACTAATTCTTATCCTACATGTGACATCATACATTTTCACTAATAATCTACCTATCACATCTTACTTTTATCCATCACATCAAAGGCAAAATTGGAAAATCCACTATAAATATACCTCATTATTTCTCCCATTAGTTAGAGGGAGTATATATAAATTTATTTTTTAATTCTACACGCATTTTCAAATAATTTGAAAATAATCTCAATCAAAAACCATAAACCGCAACAGGAACTTCTTTTAGGGACAAATGAAGTATCTTTGCTTCTTATTAGTACAAGATCTGCTGTGTTTTCACTCTTTCATGTCTTTTAGCTAATCTATAAATGAAATGGTTTTCTTGTTCATTCTCTAAGGAGATGTCGGATGCTTGAAATATCATTCATATATCAGCACTAAATATAAAAAGATTAGCCAAAATCTTCTAAGAACTAAACGTAAGGCCAAAGCTCAGACCTAGATCCAGATTATTGAAAACAAATTTAGTAGAAATAAATACAGTAGTAGATTTTTTTATATGAAGAAAATGATCGAGTTCTGAGCATAATAACATTCATCCAATCAAACAATTTAAATTTAATGCAATTATTAAAAAAAAATGAACTAAAAGGATCTCAATGGAATTGAAATGATATATTTTTTTTAAAAAAAAAAGAAAGAGATTTTGAAGTCACCGTTCGACGAGAATGTTCCCCTCGGAGTTGGCAATCAACACGGCCAGCAGCATTTCTCCTTATTCTTCTTACGACTCGATCGCTGCTGAGAAATTACCAGTTGAAATTTGGAATAGGGGATTTTGGTCGCCGGAGGAGAATATAATACCCCTCTTTTGCTAAAATACATTGAATTTTTTTATTTAATCAAGTTTCACACTTAGTCAGTTAGTCTAATTTGATTCAAAAAAATCAAATTGAATTATTACACTAAAACAGAAGTAGTAAATGATTTTTAGAAAGTTTACATTATGTTTGGGAATCAAAATGAAAAGAAAAGAATTTTCTTTCTTTTCCTCACCGAAATGAAATAAATTAATTTTTTCTTCGCTTTGGCTCATTTCTTTTTATGTTTATTTTTTTCGCTTTTCTTTTATTTTTCTTCTAGCTAAACAAAGAATTGTTTTCCGTCTTATATTTTTCTCTTTCAAATTACTTGAATCAAACATGGTGTTAGGTGTATTCATTTTAAATTTTTAAAAATCTATAAAAATCTCAAGTGATATTTTGAGCTTAGATATTGCACTGTTTTTGGATTCTAAAATTCAATACAAATTCAATTAAGATATTTAATACTCGTTAAAATTTTTGATGTATTATGAATAAAAATTTAATGTATTTAAAATTTTAAAATATTTGTTTAAATCTAATGATACTCTGTATTAAAAAGTCCAAATATTTTCAAAGACTTATATTGAAATCCATCTACAAATATCTCTAAGTGGGTGTATTTGATAACATTTAGAATGAGGTATGGGAGAACTCGAATAAGTCATAAGACACTTCACTCAGTTCAATCAAATTAAAAGATTGAATTTAATCGATCACTTAGTTCTACTCAAGAATTTATATACTTAACATTGTCTTTTCATTTGTTCGATATAGAATACTCTTTAACACTCACTCTCAAATAGACAATCAGGTCATTTTAAATCTAATCAGTTGACCACTTGCAAATGGACTCCCATGATCTCATCCCATTAAATGAATATTTGAGTGGCAACACCAAAAGAACCCCGAGTCGTTAGATATGAACTTCCAAAAGAACAATTGGGTTAAATGGGTCACATGGCATTGGATATCTTTTCCATACAGATTACTAGACTGAAGCCTAGGGCCGCTACGAATGGACTAGACAACGGACACATTGATGAATGAGGTGAACCAAAACTGACTTCGATACCATGCATGCTAAAATTTAGGATGGGGTATGTGAATACTGGATTGGGCCAAATTTTCTTCTCACTTTTTCGATGTAGGACATTTTTTCACAGTATTAAGTCTTCTTTCACAGTTTAAAAAAAACTCGGGTTCGGGTTCGGTCGGATTTGACCCATTTTTAGCTGGTCATTTCGGGTTTAGTCAACTTCGGGTTTGGTCACCAAAACGTTTGTTCAAAACCCAATGTTTTCAGGTCGGGTTTCGCGTAAATAAAGATCAGATCATTTTTTGCCAGGTCTAACTTTAAACCATGTTTAGACTCCACTAAATACCTATATACTCCCTCCGTCCCATAAAGTGTTACCCATTTTGACTAAAGTAGAAATTAAGGGAGAGATAATTTTGTGTTGACTTTCCAAAAATATCCTTGATGTGATGGGTAAAAGTAGGATGTGATGTGTAGATTATTAGGAAAAAGGTATGATGTGATAGGTAGGGTTTGAAAAAGTAAGGGGTAAAAGTGGTTTTTTAATAGAAATGGGTAGGAGATTGTGGGACACAATTTTTTTGAAAGGTGTAAATCTTTTTGGGACGGAGGGAGTATA